CGGCCCCGCCCGATGTCCATGAGCGCGAACACCATGATCTTCATGATTCTGGGGGCGTCGATCGTGATGGTGAGCGGAGGGGCTTCCCGTGCGCCCGCGCCCGCCTCTCGCGCCCGCGCGCCGCCTCCCCCACCTCCCGCGCCTTGTTTACCGGCCCGCGCGGCCTGCGCTCCCCATCCCCGGCCTGCGTTTCCCATCCCGGGCTGCCCCGCGTTCCCCATCCCCGGGCTGCGCTCCCCATCCCCGGGCTGCGCTCCCCATCCCCGGGCTGTGCTCCCCGTCTCCCGGCAGCGCCGAGCTCCCCATCCTTGGCCTGCGCTTCCCATCTCGACTGCCCTGAGCTCCCCGATTCTGGGGTTGCCCCGGGCACCCCTATCCCAGGGCTGCGCTCCCCCACCCCCAGCGCGCCGCCCCCCACACCCCACCCCACGCCCCGGGGCCCCGGCCAGGCCCGCTTCTCGGCGCTGACCGGTCATGGGCTCTTCCAGGCCATCGCGTGCTTGATGGACATGAACGCACTGCTGGACCGTTTCCACAACTACATCCTCCCGCACCTGCGGGGCGAGGACCGCGTCTGCCACTGCAACTGTGGCCGGTAAGTCCGCGCCCGGTGGGGCACACGCGTGATCACACATGTGCGGCGGCGGGGCCCACTGGGGCGCAGGCAAGCCCCAAGCAGGCCTGGCTGCAGGACTGCGCTAGGCCCGTGGGGGAAGGACTGCCCAGCCTCCGCTGGGCACCTGGGGATTGGCCAATCGGGTTCCAGGAGGGAGAGCATGCCTGAGTAGTTAGGACCCCCTCCCAAAATGCCTTTAGAGAAAGGGCCTGTGCCAGGGTGATGGGCAGAATGGGCCCCAGGCCTCCTGGTCCAGGGCCTGGAGGCCAGGAGAGCCACAGCCCAGCCCTGTGTGTCAGGAGGGATCCTGCGCTCGGCTGTGCCCACAGAGTACACCGTCCTCCCTGGGCCCTGCACTAATGTTCATGAACTTTCCTGCAAGCCAGGTACAGGGAAATGCAGAAGGTCAAGGTGGGCAGAGCCTACCTCGAGGGGCATCTGGTCCAGCCCTGTCATTGCACAGAGGAGGAACTGAGGCAAAGCTGGGTGTGGCTTGCTCAAGGTCATTCAGAGAGCCGTGGGAGAACCCAGGCTCCCTACATCCACTGTGTGAACGCCCCCATTCTGTGCACGTGTAGTGACGGAGTCTTCCTGGCCATGCATGTTTGTACGTCCATGTACAAAATAAACATGTTCTCATGAGACGCGCATGTGTGTACTGTCTGTGCATATCCATGTGCGTACACATAGCGCACACACATTCGCATGCCCAGCATCTCCACGGGAAGCCCTCATGCTGGCACCAAGAGAAAGCAGAGAGACGCTTGGGTGGATAGAGACTTGCCCAAGGTCACACAGCTACTGAGGGACTGCAGGCCGAGCCCGGAAGCTGTGTTCCTCAACCCTGTCCTGTATTTCTGCCCCAGGGACACGTGTGCAAACACTGTGGGTGGGTGTGTGTGTAAGAGAGACAGGACAGTTACGTGCCATGGCTACCGAGCAGCGTATGGAAGCAGAACCCACACGTTAGGGAAGGTAGAGAGGGAGTGTAATGGCCCTCGCATGTGCTGTCCCAAGAACCATCGGAAGAGTTTGCTGGGGGGGGGGGGCCGCACTCTTTCCCAGAGATCCCTGTGTTCATTCGTGGTGCACACAGCCCCAAACTAAGGAAGGGCACAAGGTCAGCCCCATGGCCACCTGGGTCAGCCACGACTATGAGCAGGTTAAACCGGGGTGGTCCCGAGACTCTCCCGGAGGCACATTTTACATGTGTGTGGGCTGTTGTGTCATGACCAGCATGTATGTGCCTGTGACCTCACACCAAGGACCCATCTGGGCAGACAGGGGGTGTTTCCAGCGTGTATTTGCCCGGGATGCGTGGACGCGTCATCCGTAGCATCCAGAGTCCGTGCGGACTCAGCTAGGACGCTCGCGCGCTGGGTGCCGGCTGAAGCCAGTCCTGTGTGCGCAGCTTAGCGCGTCTGGGGACGCAGAAAACCCGGAGAGCCGCCCCTGCTGCAGACGTAGAGCTTCTGGGTGCGTGTGTCCACATCACTTCACACAGGATACGTGGATTCAGTGTACAACGTATTCTTACACACCGACAACATACATGTGTATGCACAGTGCACGCATAGCACCCAGACAGCATACAGCGACGAGTGTGCTCCGCGTGGGCACGGCGAGTGTGTCTGCAGAGAACAGTGCTGCACAGGAAGTGTCCGTGTGTAGACCGTGTGCACAGGCTGCCCCAGGCGGCTCTGTCCGTGTGTGCATGCGCCGTGTGGAGCCTGCACACGTGTATGCGTCCGACCTGCCATGCGGAGAACTTCACGCAGGGGACACGTGTGTAGATGAAGGCTCCTAGTGTGCGTGCCGGCAGGCGGGGTGTGCGTTATGGTGGGGACGGCTGGGTGCCAGGCTGAGTGCATGTGCATCCGCATGCGACACGCCGCGCTCGTGCCTGGGAAGCATGCACACGCACACACGTGGAGCTCGGGGACCTGAGTCCATGGTATACACGCCACGTCTTGTGCATGCGGCCGGCGTGTATACACAACATGCTTCGGACCTCAGGTAGGCACATGCAGCATGCGTGGCCCAGGCAAGACCCGTGTATGTACACGTCATGAAAGTCCGTGTGCACGTGTGAGACCAGGGGCCTGACTTGGAGAAGGAGGAGCGAGCGTGAGGGGCAGCGAGGAGCTGCAGGCGCCAGGCCAGGGATGGGGGCACAGGTTGTGACCTCTGACCCCCTGGAGGTCCTGAGCCGCCGGGGGCGGTTGGGGCCCTGGCCTCACCCTGCTTGCAGGGCACCAGGCACGTTTCTGGCTTCTTTGGCAGCCTGACCTTCAAGTTCCCTACCTTGACCAGCTGTGTGTCCAGGGGCAGGAAGCAGCAGTCCTGAGGAAGGCCCTGTCAGGGGTCCTCGGCCCAGAAGGCTGGGTAAAGCAGGAGGGGACAGTGATGCTCTGTGTTAGCAGCCCCTGTGCGGCCTGCCTGGCCTTGTGCGCCCCCGGTGATGGGGACCTTGAACGGGTCACGAATGGCGTCCGCTCCTGGGGAACCCGCAGCTGCTGTTCATTCTGGGTGGTGATTAATAGTTTTCCACCACTTATTGGTGACTGACAGTAGCTACTGACAAACTGATCAGTAAGCATGGCTGCCACGTATCAGGCCGTCCTCGCTACTGACTCCGAGCCGTGGGGCTGTAGCCAAGGCCCCACCACTGGGACTGGTCACACTCTGGACATGCTGAGCAGGATGGCCTCCAGAGTTCCCAGAAGGAGCAGGAGGGGTGTGAGGAGAGGCCTGCCTGCCGCCATCCCTGCTGGGCTCCTACTGGGAGGAAGACGCTGTGTGGACCCCGCTGGTGCAGGGACATCGGTAGGGAAGGAACAGCAGGGAATCAGGGAGGAGTAGTGGGGTTTCCGTATTTGAGACGGTCCCTGTGGGGGAGTGTGGAACATGGCCAGTTGCGAGGTTGGGGCGTGGGGGTAGGGACCTATCTCAGCTGAACACCAGGCGGAGGTGCCAGCATCTAACTGAGGGGAAGATGGGGAGAAGCAGGTTTGGGGAGGGAGGAGCTATTTTTAGGTATGAGTTTGAGGTGTCTGTAGATCCCACATGGAGACGCCACACAGGCGCTAGAGCTCAGAGCAGACGGGGAGGGGGGGGGGAGTGTGTGCGGCCGGGGACTTCAGGGGATTGGGGCTAGAGTTGGAAAGACCAGCAAAGGGGCTCGGGGAGGAGGGGAACCATGAGAGCTGGCCCCGTGGGCAGGAGGGCTCGAGAGAGGCCCCTGCACTGCCAGGCAGGAGGATGACAGGGGCGAAGGGTGGACCCCACGGTCCCTCTCCTGGGCTCTCCTGCAGGCCGAAGAGGGGGTCGGGAGTGGGGACAGACCCAGAGTCTGTTGTCCTGGGTGCTGATCTCCTGAGTAGGGCCACCCCACCCAGGCCCAGGAGGGCTTGCTGGAGGAGGGAATCCAGAAAGGCCTGAAACTGGAGGGAAGCATGTGGGGAGAGTTCAAAGTTCCTCAGAGGCAAGCCTGGACAGTGGGGGGAAGGGAGGCTGAGAAACACCGCACAGGCCTTGGTGGGGGAGGCAACACATGGGAGTCCAGGGAACCTGGGGCAGCTGGAGCATCCCGGGAGCCGCAGCGCCGGCCATGGACATGCACCTCTGTGGGGACATGGGCAGGAGAGGGGGCGTGAGATGGACACTGGACAGAGCCCGCTGGACCTCCAGCCCAGAGAACAGAGGAAGGGGAGGTGCCTGCAAAGGATGAAGGAGCAGAAGGAAGACCAGAGGCCCAGGGCAGGGCTGACCCACTTGGCATTTGGTAGCAGGGAGGAGGATGAGAGGGCGTGTGGGAGGGGAGGCTGTGAACCTGCGACTGGATGGGGACATCCCGCCCCGGGCCTTCGCCCTGGAAGCTTGTTCACCTGCACTGTTCCCGTGACCCGGCACTGTTGCCTCTGAGCCCCGGGGCAGAGGACGGAGGAGGGTGATACGTGGGCAGGCTTCACTCTGACCGCTGACAGCGCACACTACCCCCTCTGGGCAGCCTCTTGCCCGGTGGGCGGGCCCCTTCCTGACCTCAGCTCCGCACAAGGGCTGCTCTAAGGCCAGCAGGGCGAACGGGTGCCGCTTACCGCCGGGGTCGCTGCCCGCCCCACGGGAGAGGTGCCAGCCCGCCCTGCCACCCCCAGGCACCACATCCACTACGTGATCCCTTACGACGGGGACCAGTCGGTGGTGGACGCCTCCGAGAACTACTTCGTGACAGACAACGTCACCAAGCAGGAGATCGACCTCATGTTGGGGCTGCTGCTCGGCTTCTGCATCAGCTGGTTCCTGGTGTGGATGGACGGCGTCCTGCACTGCGCTGTGCGCGCCTGGAGGGCCGGCCGGCGCTACGGTGAGTGAGGGCGGCGGGGGGCGCGCGGCCCGGCCCTTGCGTCCCACCCTACCCC